GGCTGTAGGTCTTTGGGTCCAAGAGAAGTGAAGCGAGCACAATGGAAGTCAAAGGGTTTGGCACTGCTCCTGTTTGCTTCTTCTAGAACTCCTGTTGATCTCCTTTTTATCTATCTGGGCTCTGTCTACAATTTCACTTAGGAACAAAGGGTCCATTTCACCCATAAGTCTTAATATCTTTGGAGTGGGATAGGTCAGATGCTAATTCTAGGAGTAGATGCTTCCATGCAGGGCGTTCTACAAGCCCGCAAAACCAAGGGCTTCCAGTTTCTCCTGCTTATTGCCCTAGCTCTGGTGCCTGCCTGCCAGGTCTTCTCTCCATATTTCTTATATCTCGAATGACCTCGGTCTGCCCTCTCAGATGACAGTCTCTCACGGATAATCGCCACTCCTCTGTTAAGACTGAGTTATTTTTGTTCTGTTTTGTTTTGTTTTTAAGTATAGTTAACATGCAATGTTATATTTGTTTCAGGTGTACAGCAAAGTGATTTAGCGATTCTTCACATTCCCCAGTGTTCACCAGGATAAGTCACCAAACAACGTTATTACAATATCATTGACTATATTCCCCACACTGTACTTTTCATTCTCCATGACTTATTTATTTTATGACTGGCAGTTTGTACTTCTTAATCTCCTTTCCTTATTTTACCCATCCTGCCGGCTCCCTCCCCTCTGGCAACCATTAGTTTGTTCTCTGTTTAAGAGTGGTTTGCCGGTTTGTATGCTCAACACCACTCATCATCAGGGAAATGCAAACCAAAACCACAATGAGATATCACCTCACACCTGTCAGAATGGGTCGCATCAAAAAGACAAGAAATAATAAGTGTTGGTGAGGATATGGAGAAAAAGGAACCCTGGCACACTGTTGATGGGAATGTAAATTGATGCAGCTGCTGTGGAAAACAATATGGAGGACGGAATTTGATACCACCTTCCTGAAGGAATCTGTCCTGATTTCCTAGCTCCCACTGCTCCATATGTGACATGACAGGGTTATGTGGCTTGTGAGTCCCCCACGTCCCAGGCCCTGAGCTCCTTGAGGAGAATCCAAAGTATCTTACCAATCTTACTGAAATGAACTGAAAGCTGACTAAAACAATGTCCCAATGTGGCTTTCTTGTGACAGACCAGGTATTCCTTATGGCAAAACTGTTGGTCATTCAAGAGAAAAGTTGTAGCATGGTTTCCACATGTTGTTCTGGCTTTTTAAAGCTACCGAAAAGATCCAATGTGAAGGTACAAGGAAAATCAGATTTTACTCCAGGGTGGTAAACTGACACAAGCCTTCAAAATTAACTGAAGTGAAGAAAAATCATTAACTTTGTACACCTGATGACACATAAAGATGAGGGGATATATTCTGGAATATGAAGATACCATGTGTGAATTAAAACTATTAATTAAAGAGCACCTTCTGAATTATCATTTTATTATATCACATAGTCGTTAACTGAAAAAAATATATGATCTTAGATCTAGAAGGACCTCAAGGACTTTTTAGTGAAACAGCCTCACTTCACAGGTGAGAGAACAAAAACTAATCTAAAGTCGTCCAAGATTGCACAACTCAATTTGTCCAAACAGAGAGAAGGAACCTGGGCCTCCTGACACCACCTCTCCATCCCCCCATTACTTACAGCAGGTATCAGCTATTTTAAACAACCTCTTATTCCCTAAGAATCCTCACTTTCCAACCCACAGAGATGACAGTTAATGACCCTGGGGTTAGGGGCTCCTGTCCAAGTTGCAGCTGCTGTCTGTTGAGCTGCCAGCAGGGAGTTGGCGGAGTTTACCAACTTGCTTATCACAGTCATACTTGTGATTTGGATTATGTAATTTAATTAAATGTTATATAAAATAATGAGCCCTTTGTGTAAAAGAGGAGAGTACTTATTCCTATGAAAACCAAATTCACTGTTTTGGGAAAGGTTGTCAAAGGGAGAGTCAAACATCAATACCAATTAGTTGCATGTTACATAACTATAACTACGGGGGAATGATAGAAACACGTACAAGGAATCTGCATTCATACCATCACTTCCCTGGAAAATTCCTATTCCCCTTTCAGAACAATCTTATACAAACATAAAAAATTAAGCCTGGGCATAAGCTTATGAATTCTAATCAGCAGATCTGTATCAAAGCAGCAATGACAAAACCAGAACGCAGACTTTGCAACCCCCGCCCCCACCTCACCCTTGCGGCCCCAAAGCTCAAGTTACAGGACTTTATGTGTGTTCAAATGTGTGAAGTTAAGATGTGCTTTAGCCAATTCTTAAGGGGTCCTAATAATCTAAAATACGGAGTTTTTAATGTTCCAGGGCAGTATTTATTTTGTTGATTTAATGATATGCTCTACTTGTTTCCAGTTTTGACTGGAGTGGTTTAGAAACAAACTTAAAACCACACTTGCAAAATAACACAAAAGGAGAAGAAATAACAAATAACAGGAGAGGGTAAAGAAATAACTTATAAATCGGCATATTTAAAGCCATGCCACCCTCCTTAGTGAAATCAGCTCCTGACAAACTGCAATCTATAGATTTGAAGATGGAGACTGTAAACACAACTCCAACTTATCTATTTTGTGCTCACGGTTGAATGAGTCTATGGTTGCTATTTTACAAATTCAGTATGAATGCCACTGCAAAGTCAGACACCTGGCAGCCTAAGAAGAAAGTAGGGTAGCTCGGCTTCCTGGCCTCCCCGCACCCACTCATGCTGGTCAGTCCCGCTCTCCTCATGCAGAGGCCACGCACCAGGCTGCACAAAGTTCTTGCAGTTCAAACATTCCCCAAAGCAAAGATAAAGACTCCTTGTTGAGGTTTCAGAAGATGCAGAGTTAACATTCCAAATGCCTGAAAGGAGCACACAGAAAGCCAGGCGTGTGAACACTCAATGTGCAGTGTATGGGCCACTGTCCATCCGGGAGGCCAGTCACGCCTCACACTGGCCACTGGGAGGACGTGTCCTGCAGCAGATGGTCCGCATCCATGTTCCAGCCTAATGCTGTGTGTGGTGATGACAAGCAGCCTGCTGCATCACACATGAGAGCCAGAGGACTCAGGAGGACTTTGTGATGGGGACATTTTAAAAGGACACATTTCTGCTACTCTATAATTGGTGGTGAATTTACAAATTAGCTGCGAATTGAGAAGTGGGACCCCAACAAACTGCAAAGCCAGACTCGCCCCCAGGTTTATTCAATGTAGACACTGTGCTTACAGGAAACATTTAAAATAATGATAGTGTTGCACAGACTGCCAAGAGCCTATCTACACTGCCTTCTTGCTTCACCTGGAGTATTCCTGAAACCATGGGATTCCTTGCTGCTAGCCTCTCCTTCTCCCAGGACATCTTGTGCAGGTTAGCGTTTCACAGGGAGGTCTCTCCTAGAGTCACTCTCCTGCTTTAAACACAGGATGATCAAACTCCCTTGCATGGCATGCAGGGCCCTTTAAAAGCTTCCCCTTGTCACCTTTCTACCCCCTCATGCCATGTAGCCCCACACCTTCCTGCTTCCTTCCCTCTCCCTGGGATACTGCCTGCTGTTCCCACTTCATTCAACTATCACACTCAGAAAATTCCAAAAGCAGATCAAACGGCATCTTTTATCAGTAGCTTGCTGTGACTCTTATTCGTACCTCCCATTTCTCAGCTCTGTGTTCCCATAACATTCAATTCCCATCTCTGTGACAGCCCATTCCACACAGATTTCCACCAGCCCCCTGCCTTCCTTGCATGCTGTCTGGCTCTCCAGAATGCTATTTCCTTCATCTTGGGTCTCAGTGCCTAGCACAGGGCTGGATCAGAGCATACGTGCAATCTAATAATGATGCTGACAACTGAAATGATAATATTATAATAAATCTATCCACAGGTAACACTTACTGATTACCTATGATGCACCAGAACAGAACTAGGTATTTGATACGTTCTATATAATTTCATCTTTGAACATCTCTAAGGAGGCAATGTTTTTTTTTTCATTTTATAGATATTCTGAGATTTAAAACTGTTTAAATACTTTTCACAAGCTCTCAGTACTAATAGGTGGTGGAACGGAGATTTAAACCAGGTCTCTATGAAGCCAAAGTTAATGTTCTTGCAAATTCAATCTGCATGATACTCTGACTTGTTCTACATATATTATACATTTACTTAGTCTAATATTCTACATTATGAAACAAATTCTAGTCGTATAAAAACATTCATACCCTTAGTATTACAAAATAAAGGCCTAATGTTGACAATTAGCTCCATAATTTGCAATTTTAAGCTTCTCTGAAAGATTTCACATTAATATACCATAAACTATTAGTAAACATGTTAGTCTTCAATATTTAGCCAACTATAGACAAAACTTCTTAATAAAACATTTCTTTAATTATTTTTAACTATTTTGGAGGATGAAGGGTGGTGAGCATGAAGAGCAGTTAGTGTTGTTTCCTGGAAATATCCATTACTTGTAAGTTAAAAGGAAATTTGAATCTCACCTATAGAGAACATAATATTAATACTTTACTGAAAGGCACTAATGATGTAGTAAATAAGCCTCAACTCAACATTCTGATGATAAATTTAGAATTATTTGTTCTTTTGACAAAAACTAATTTCTATTTTCATTTCACTACTTTGCTCTGCCTAAGAAAGCCAACTTGTGACATTATCATATCAATAAAAAGGCCTTGATTGGATTACCACAGAGCAGGAATGCAGGAGACATGCCAACCTCTCTTAGTTGAGATGTACTAGCAAGTACTACCAAGGAGGGAGCAACATTTACATTTACAAAGGAAGTGGGTGGACAAAGGCGTTTACTGCTTGGTCTCTAGAAATCCTTCCTTTAATATTTGGCTTCTCCCAAGATAACAATTATTAAAGGCTCTGCAATAACATCCCCAGGCAACCAAATCCAGCCACACAAAATGTCCTTTAACACTTCTCCCTCTGACCAAGAAATATATAAATCTAAGCAACATTTGCACACTTACTTTTTCAGTTTTTGTCGAATCTCTGAATCTTTAATCTCGTTTTGAAGATCCTCAAAATTTTCAACAGAAGTCAAATTGCAGAAAACTCTGAAGTCAGCATAGGGAGGGATCCCGTGGTCTCGCCCCCTTTGAATGTTGGTGGCAGCCAAATCCAGGGCCACAGAGTGGGCGGTGGAGAACAGCTTCTCAGTCAGCTCTAAACTGAGCAGTTGGGAGGGTACCCGCAATTTAGCAGCCACACCAAATAGCCCCCGAAGGAGTGGATCTATCCCACCTTCCTCGATTATTCTGGAGGGTGAAAAGAAAGCTTTATGGAGTGGAAGGTGGCCTTCAGGGATTTCTCCGAAGGTGTCATTTAGTCGATAAAGAATAGGATTGATTAACGTGTGACCAAATCTGAAGGCTGCAGTAGCAAAAGAGTTAATGATCCCTGCATTCACATTGGGGTTGTAGCCCTGGTAATCCCGCAGCATCTTCATGCCAGGTTCCCCCAGAATCTTGGGCAGCCAGTGGCTGTAGGTGATGTGCTGCAGCTGAGCACCCACAATCTTCCTGGCTTCATGATAAAGGGTGTCTCCGTCCCAGTGGGGGTTCAGGGCAGACAGCTCCGTGGCGACCCTGTTGTGTTCCCGAAACCACAACGTGTGCATGGCTGTGAGGGCCAGCTGCTCATTGGCCCTGTGGTCCCCGGCCAGGAAACAGGGGCTGCGGCTACCCTGCTCCCACCCTGTGCACTCAGTGGGTGGGCCCGCAGCAAAGGGCAGTAAGGGCTTTCCCGACCGCACCCACAGCAAGCCTGTCCTCAGGAGTCCCCGAGGTTCTGAGTAGTCTCGGAGAATTTGGGATTCCCGCTCCGAGCTCCCATAGACATTAGAGGCATCTATATAGGCTGTGAGTTGGTTAATCTGTTCTCTCGTGTAGACTGAATTCATCACTAAGGAGGTCATGCCACTGCCACACACGGGGCTGGAGCGTGCAAAGAACATGCACGGTGCTCGGGTCCCTCGGGGGTCAGTGTCAGGAATGATGATGGGGAAGCAAGGAGGATCATTCGTACATACCGAGATGCACGGCTGCCCATCAGAGAAGCGAGACATGCTCAACGCAGGCACTGTGTGGTCTAGATCGTGGTCTAAAAATTGGCCCCACTGCATGAGCATGTGTGTGTATCTATGGTCACGAGTGACTGTGGCCGTGGCTGCCAGCTCTGTGGAGACCAGCCTGGGTGGTGGGAGGGGATACCGGCCTGACAGGGCCTCACGGCTGACCCCACGTGGCAGGTTGAAGCCGTTCTCGTAGGCAGGTTTCAGGATGCGCTCAAAGGCGGTCAGGGATGCACCCCACATGGGGTGCTGCAGGTTGTTGCACGTTCCGTCCTGGGCTCGATACTTCTGATGGAAACACATGTCAGAGCAGTTGGGCACCTGCCTGTGGGCTGTACATCCAGATAAATTGGCTATGAGGCTGAGGTAGTGTGGGGACACCAAGTCATTGTATAGGAACTCTGAAACACAGAACAGCAAGGGCAATGAAGAGAGCTGTCCTTGAGGTAGAGTGAGAGGGGGAACCTCAAGCCCAGGTGCCGTAGGGATGGGCCACTCTAGGCGGGCAGAAATCTTTCCTACATCCACCACATTTCATTAGGACAAAGTTGAAAGTTCTAATTAAAAGGGGGTGGTACTTAGTGATGCTTCTCTTATGAGCAATGACAAATTGCTAGAATGAACAGAAAAGGAGAGAAATGTCCCAGTTCCCATCAAGCTCTTAGTTCTGTGACTTTACCAATATAATGTTGGTAAGGATTTGGTAAGTCCTCATCACAAGATTGTAATATTTTTTTTTCCCATTTCAGAATTCTTTCTTTCAGGTTTTATGCTCCTAGAAGACAGGGTCTAAGATGTGCTAGTGTGGTTGTGTGAATATTAACCTGCGTGATAGTTGATATGAATGGATTAAGCAGTAACTTGTAAACTACCACAAGCTGTCATCCCCCAGGGAATGTGCAATACAACCTGGAGGTGTTTTGGAGCTGCTCTTTTAGCAGAGCTTGAAATTGCAGCATAGTCCTAAATCTGCAGAAACTCTTCACTAAGTCCTGCTTGCTAAGAGTTATTATCCCCACTTAATCATCAGAAACTGGCTAATAATACCAGGACCATTTGTCCTTTATCTGTGTAAGCTGGTCTCTGTCTGGCTGGACCCTGAGATATCTTAATCTTGGATAGATACAATAATCTTTCTGTATATAAATACATGGATCCTGGGTTCACTTTTAGGGCAAACTGATCCTGGAGGGAAAAATAAATAAATAAAGGCCTTTAACTTTACAAATAATAAAAGAGAGGTAGAACAACATAATTTTTTTTTCTTGAGAAAATTTTGTTAAAATTCTCGAATATTTTAGATGAGAATACTCAGTTTGGTAATGAACACCAAAAACAACGGATGCATATTTTAGCAAAGTTAAATCCCTGTAGATATTCATTGCTTATTCTCTAGTTATGAATTTAGATTAAGTTATTATTGAAAATTGTTTCTTCCAATAGATATGTGTGAGAAGAGAACTCAAAGGCCCTTTGTCCTGACCTGGAGCTGGGCTTTTTGCAGACCTGACCACAGCTAACTCATCCTTAGTAAGACTCGGAATGAAATTTGATTCAAGCGCTAATATGGACCCTATGGAAATTTCACTTGGATATTTTAGTTAAGGAAACTCTGAAACCCGACATAATGGATCATTAGGAGCTATTAAATAGAGCTTTTTGAGTAATTGTATAGGGCACCTAAAGGGTGAGCCATGCACAGAAAGGGGCTTGTGCACTGTATCTTGATTTATTTTCTTTTGGGGGGGGCGGGGGTTTATTTTCTGAAGGCGAGTAAAGAAAGGGTAAACCTCTAGAAGTTGCTGTTGTGCTCACAGAACAAATAGTGTATAGCAAAGGATCAAATTTTTACTTCACTTTAAAGAGAAAGACTTAGAAAATCTGAAAGATTTCTAAATCATTCTCATTTGACATTTACTAAATAAATGTCTGGTTTTGGAAAAAGTACATGAGACCTTCAGTATAGCAACAACAATAAAATAGATCTGGGAGGGACACGTATGTTATAGGTGGAGTAAGGAATTCAAATAAATTCACTGAATGGTTTAGGTGATTCCAATAACAAGGAGAGGAACACTACCCTAGGAGTAAAGCCTTTTTCATAGGAAAGAGGAATATCTTTTGGATTCAAAACGTCCATCTAAAATGGGCCCCCTAGATTTACTTGACATAGATAGCTGCTAGAAGTTGACAAGTTTGAATATACATTTATCATCCTTTCTTCTGAATTATAGTTCTTACGAGAAACATCTGCATTCATTTGGTAAAGTGGTAAATTAATTTCTACATCACATGGAGTTTTGGAGATTAAAAACTGAGGGGTGATCAGTTTTGCTACTGACAGTAGGCTGAGAACAGAATGCGCCCTAGAAGCTGACCTCTGCCCTCCAAATCCACAGTGAGCCCCTGCTTCACGTGTTCCTGGATGAGCAAAAGTGTGTGCTCAAAAACCTCTCCAGCTCTTGCTGTCTCCACAGTAAATGGGTCATACGGATAACGAAACTGAGCCAGCAGATCACTAGGGGTGCGAGGTTTCCTGCAAATGACAAAAGACATTACTGTTCACAAGGCAAAACTGCAGAATCCATGAATCTCACTGTGCATTTAAGAATACATTTCCCAAACAATCAAGAAGAAGAAAAGTTTCACCACCAGAAAATAAGCTTCACAGGGGGAGCTGAGAGTTCTTTTCCTACTTTATTAATGAGTGAATCCCAAATGCCAGTGCCTGTGCTGAACTCAAAAGATATATTTTTAATGAATCAATGATTCAAAGAACAGTTTTCTATAAAAGGTAACATTTATGGTGAAAGTTATAAACTTGTGGGGTCCACACATAGGTCTGAGGGGGCTCAGTAAACCCTCTGAAACAGCATGCAAGACACTCAGTTTCTGGACATTGGCACTGTCTGTCTTTTCTTTCCTCAAATGTAACTGCCTGGAAGATGCTGGAAATTCCCACTCACGTTTAAAACCCTGCTCAGGCATTGTTCTCCCCAGAAACTCTCCCTGGTAACTCTGACAAGCTACCACCTTCTCAATTACGTCTGTATGCTCATATACATCTATTACATACACAACAAGATGTACTTTAATTGTTGACATATTGTCTCTTCTGCTACAGAAAGACTGTGTCAGGGATGAGATGCTGCCTTATACATCTTTATATTCCATGTACCAAGCCTAGCAACCAGCATACACATTGAAAAACTGAACTAATTAAGATAAAAGAATATTAGTCACTGAGAATGTGAAACTGTTTTAGAGATTTTGGTCAACGAAGGCATGTCTGGTCCTCTACATCAGATATTGTAATAACTTTAGATCATAGAATAGTAATGATATTAATAGCTTACTTTAATTAAGCCCTTTCCATGTAGCAGACACTGTTGAGACACTATCTGTACTAACTTATTCGATCTTCCTAGCAAGTATGTCCATGAAACAGATTCTATTGCTATCCCCATTTTACAGGCAAGAAGTGTGAGGTACTAAGATGCTTAGTTACTTGCCCAAGGTCACCCAGATAGGAAGTGATGAAGTGAGGAATCACTATAAAGATATAAATAAGCTGTATGGCTCTAGAACACAAGTCCACGATCAGTGAGACATGCTGTTGTGGTATGCAAGGAGCAGAGCTGTACTTGATTATGGTATTATAAGGTATTCCTTTTAGACCGACAGCTGCAAAGACTGGGTATATACTTTATTTGACTTTAAAGACAACAGCCATGTTTTCATTAATATGTTCAGGTGATGCAAAACTGCATCCCTTGTACCTCCATCAGGACTGATGGGGACTTTATAGAACCTGAAGTCTTCACTACTCTAAAGATGTTCTGGTTCAAATAAAAATAACCAAAGTACTACATATCCTAAACAAAACTTTCATCCGTGAGCTATCAGTTTATGGCCAGATGTGTTCAACTTGACAATCACTCTCAATTCCTGGATTGGCAGGAGCACTGGGTCTGACCCTGGTGGATGCTGACCTAAGAGAGCCCATTACCTGATACCTATCATAGAACCACATAGAGTGGATCTGTGATGTAAATTTATGCCATTTAGATTCTGTGGGGAGCAAGTTTCATTCTCTTTGAGACTGAGCTGGCAATAGTGGGTAGCCCAGAGGGTGATAACACGCACACAGACTAAAGAAAACACCCGCTTTTGGCAATCTTATGCACGATGCCTGCTGTGATTTATGGAGATTATAAAAACCAAGTAGGACTGAAGTGAAAACAATTTTGTAATCAAAATAAAATAAATTCTTACTGTGAAAACAAATGTCTTCGTGTGGAGTTAATTGCACTGTCAACCCTCTGTACAGCATCAAGAATGGATGATTCAACAAAGTCATCGCCAGCTTGTCTACCCTGTATTGCTTTGAAAATCAATTCCATGATTAAAAGTATCAAACAGACCTTGAAGTTAGGAATGATCTCATACAAATGGCATTACAGAAACTTCCAGGACAATAAAAATGTTATACAGTGTCCACATGATACTGTCCATTGCAGAAGAGTAGGTAATTATCCTGAAGCAAAGCTTCCAGAAATTATAACAGTATTATTTAGGGAACTAAAGCATTCCAAAAATCTAGTAAAGCTATGTGAAATATTTCCTTTTTTTACAACACTGATTCGAATGGGATTCAACTCTGTTAGTAATTTGTCATCTTCAGAAAGGTAAGAAATGCCTATCTCTTCAGCCACCTTGCTTTAATGTGAAACATTAAAATGAAGTAAATATTATCACATCCTTATGGAGATTTCTTAAAGCAAGAATTGAACTCTCAGTAAGATTTCAATGAAAAATAACTCATGTTTTTTCTATAGATCTTTGGTGTGTGAGAATTCTATCATGTTGAATATTATAGACAAAGAAATATTTTCACTTAGAGTCGATAATCTTCAACATATTTAATCTTCTCCAGATGATGGTTTAAGAAGTTTAAGGTAAAGAAAAAAAAAACGCTAATAAAAATAATCATGGATATTAAAAACTCACATAAGAAAAATAATTGAGCATATCCATATTATTTAGTTAATTTTTAAGAATATTAAAAGTATAATAAGAATTTATATGACATAATTAAAGCAATAACTTAATCTTAGCACGGTTGAATATTGTCAAAAAATCAGTGAGTTATTCATTCAGAATTTCAAAAAAATAACTAGATCCCAAAAGAATCAAATAAGTTAATTGATAAATAACACTTGGAACACATGGTAAATGCCCAACAAATTTTTTTTAGTAGTAATATTAGTATCAGTTTAATACAGGTCATTTACTTAATGTAATAGGAAAAGTCTCATTAACTTAAAGTCAACTAATGTAATCTTAATTCTCATTTATAATTTATCAGGTTGAAGATATAGTCAAAGTAAAGAATATTGTAAGTGGAAATACCATTTAGAAAGTTATTGCAGAAGTCTAAATGACCAAAGAATGAACTATGAAAGAGGAGGTCATATTGAGAAATGGAAAAGAAGCAATATTTGCAGGAAAAACTGGTGAGACGTGGTAGTTAGGGTAAAGAAGGAGGAGGGAGGAGAAAAAAAATCAGAAGTTCTGCCTTCCTCCTTATAGAATATGGACTGTATTAAAGGAGTGACACAGGAGGTTACAGGTCTTGAGGTGAAAATGAGGAATTCAATTTAGCATACATTCGATCAGTTTTTAACACATGGAATTGGAAAGCCTGTGGGTCATCCAAAATGAAACGTCCAACACAACAATTAGATACTCAACTCAGAATTTCAAAGGAGACAACATTGTTTGGATTGATTTCTTTATATCATTACAAACAGTATATATGTGGTATTTGTGCTCCAAAATTTTCATTTAATCCATGCTGTGTCACTGTTTAACTTTTACCAATCCACATATTATTCCAGTGTCTCACTGGTAAACACTCTATCATGTAGACATGCTCTAAACTACTTCCTGACTATTGTTGCACATTTGAATTCTATTGTAGAAACAGAATTTCTATGCCAAGAAGGACTCTTGAGAGTGTCCAGTTCCACATTTTTAGGAAATGAGAAAATTAATTTCAGTTATGGGTAAGGCATCCAAAGTGACTGAGATCAATAAAGGTAAGTTTAATGAATTAACCGAGGGTTTTTCCCACTATCTCAAACTGTTAATATTCAATATAAATGTCTTGTGTCATCAGACTGAGCCATTTTCACAAGCAAGAAATGAGTCATAAGAATATACTGTGAATGATGAACTTGACAGCACTTAACAGCACATCAATATATATAGGAGGTGTTAAAATAAATTATGTTTTGAACAAAAATTGTGAGGTTTTTTGGGGTCTAAAGTAATATGTGTAGTTTTCATATGCCAAATATCATCCAGAGAAAGAAGTATGCTGATGTGAGTAATATTTGCCAATACAAAATACTTTGAGGACACCCTAAACCAAAGGATAGGTTCCCAATAAACACTATATCAGCCTTACAGGTTTTTAAAAATTTATTAAAACTATTAAAATCTATTACATCTATAAAAAAAAACTCCTTAAAAATCACAACTTGTGGGAACCCTTTTATCTTTTGCTATTATAAATACCTTACTTTGAACATCACTCATTCAAATGCATGGTTTATATATATAATGCCCAGATTTTGCTTAAATTGTTACTATGTATTTTTATTCTTTTAGATTACTTTGTATGGTTGTATTCCCAATACAGAATAGAAACTCACAAAGCATGATCCTCTTTGTATCACTTCTTATACAATGAGCGGAGATACAACATTCCATCACTGCTCAATTAGGGCATTAAAATTGGAAAATCCTCCTATAATGCATGGTCTTTTCCCTTTAATTAGGATGACTGGTGAATGAAAGGGTCTAAGTCATAAAATGTTCCATAAGTGATATTTTATGTTGACACATTTCCTCCTATTCTGCAAATTGAGTTGTGTGAACACACACACAAACATTTAATCTTAAATTTATTCAAAATTTCAAAATTTATATCTTCATACTTTTTCTTCTTTTTATAAAAATATGTCTAATATCATAAAATTTATTTGGTATGAGACACAAATATAAATTGATTTCCCCTTATATTGTTATAAAAATGTCTCAAGAGAAAAAAACATAATTTTTTTCTTGACTGAAGAACTTCTTTTGTACTATTTTATCTCTACAGCCTGACTTTCTGCTTTTTATACAATAGAGCAGAATATTGGTAAATGCTACTTATCACTGTTTTAAAATCTGGTAAATAGAGTGATTAATACATCTTAATCTAAATGTTTTACTTTTAATGTGTATATATAAAATGGTTAGTTAAATGTCAGTCTACCACAATGAAAATCTTATGTTGGAGGTTCTAAAATACTGACCACTGTGATTATAGTGTTTGTGTGTATGTGGCAGAGCAAAACAGACAAACTGAAAGAATAAGAGGCAGAAAGAGAATATTTGTTCGTGTATGTGTTTGTTTAATGGTAAAGATTTCTAGCATCTCTAGAACCTAAAAAATAGTAATTTAAATTTTATAATAAGTTTTTTTCCAAAATGCTCAAGAATATTTTCTCATAGATCTCATAAATAGTTAAGCAGTAGAAAAGGATCTCTATAAATTTATAAAAAGAAACACAACTGTTACAGATTCTAAATCAGGAAAAACATGAACTCATAGCAAATACCAAGTAAGGCTAAGATTTCGTAACTTTAAGAAATTCTATGTGATAAAGAATTTCTGACTCTCCTAGAATAAATATTCGCTAGTTACTAGATACATTGTTATAATTTTAAGACTAATATTCTACAGAGAATACTTTTTACCATACAGTATAATAAAAATGTGAAGACTTATGCACCATTAATGAAAATATATACTTTATATAAAATAACCAAACAAATGAGTATTTGGAAGTTTGATTTCTCAGGAGAGTTTTCAAGGGTAAGAATATGAAACTATTGTACTACATGATAGAAAGACAGTGACATCTTTAAGGATGTGATTCAATTAAATAAATCTATTTTTATCCAGGCCTGTATTTATAATGAGAAGAGTTACCCAATAGATTTAGAGACCCGTAAGAGCTGGAAAAACTAAAAGGAAAAAAAAAATCTGTAAAACCCTATTTTTGAAATCTGCCCATTTCTAAGGAAACCAAAAAGCAGGCAAAGCCCAAAATAGTACTCCATATGCTTGTAGCTGAACTCATTTACTTCAACTGCTGATTGTCAATAAGGCAGAAACTCTTAAACCCATCCACAAAAAAAGCAACCCGACGTCAATTCACATGTCCCCACATGCTGTGCTTTTCTTGAATTCTTTCCGCATGTGGAGAACATGCCAGTCCATTATCACAGCCAGTCCCCATTCCCATACCCACAGCTGAGGTTTCCACTCGAGTCTGCCCACAAATAGACTCCCTCACTTCCAATACAAACCAATTGATTGAAGAAAAAAAAAAAAGGATTTTATTTTTTGTAAAACTATGACCATTTTTTTTAAGCAGTCACTATTTATAAACAACTAGCAGAGGGCTACAGATAAATAACCAGCCAGATGACAAAATGTAAAACAATGCCAAATACATTGACCAATTATAAATGTTCCAAAATATTGAGATATTTGTTCTTACAGTGGCAAATCTTACCTAGAAGTTTGATTGATTGATTTTTAATTTTACTGTAGAACTAAATACACCAGGTCAGAGTAACTCATACATGTTAAATTCCATTTATCCTTAAATCTTTGACTCCACTTTATTTAGCTATGAATGTATCTTACATGCTATAATTTTCATTTCCTAAGAAAACGTGGTATACATTTGTGAATCCCTCCTATTTTTGTTCACCTTTGGCATTGATAGTTTTGGTGTTTGATACCCATTAATGTAGTTTACACTTAAAACTTAGATTTAAAAAATTAAAATAAGTTTGATTTGACTAGAAAAAAACATATAAGGGAACTTGGGTAGTGAGACAAATCAGTTAGGATGAGGAGTAGCTGTCAAAGACATTTGTTTAGATTGCATGAGGAGCCATACTTACCTACAACTGTGAGAAACATGTTGGCCACAACAAGGCCAAATGAATTCCGAGCCACACATTCATATCTTCCTTGGTCAGCTTGCCCTGCATCATAAATGGTTAGCATGCCTTCACCACTGACATGGAATTTACCACTTTCAGTAATCTGAACACCTGCCTAGGGAGTGAAAAGAATTGTCACTGGAAGAAAATATGATTCCTTAAAAAATAGCATCTTACATCTTGTTTGATATAGTTTGATTAGTTCAACAAATATCTACTGAGCACCTACTGTGTCAAGCATTAGATAAGGTATTTTATGAATCTAATGAAAAGAAGAAATGAGAGAGAGAGAGAAAGTACTTTCTAGGAAGTATGGTTTATCTTTCTCTCTTAAAATAAATATGATACTCAAAATTCAATTATGTAATTATTTAATATAATTATTTTAAAATCATCATTCAAAGAATGAATAAATAGTTTATTCATATTTTCTTACTTCTAGAAAAGGATTCTGACAACAACAATAAAAATAAAATTTGGAAAGAAGAAAAATTTTCATAAATCTACCAACTAAAAGCATCAAAATATTTTCATACTTCTGATTCCTCTTCTATTTCTTCGTTGTATGTACTCATAAGTTTTATGTACCTGTAAAGCTTTATATATCAGTGTTTCTCAATTAAAATTATACCTTAAGAAGATAAGATGACTACATTTCATATGAAATATTATTAAAATGTATTGTTATAATTAGTATGGATTTACATACTTTTCATTATTATGCTATTAATTTTTAAAAAGGAAAAGAAATTGGCTTTCTAGGACTGCGTTTGAGTGGGGTAGGGGTAGAGATTCTTCTCTCCTTCCCCTCGCCAAAATACTCAGAGGAAACTGAGGATGAGAGCTGCTGTTTCAAAAGAACTCATACCCCTGTGATGACTAGTAGGCCAGAATGTAACCAGAAAGATTCAGAGTGAAAAAAGTGCTTCATAGGTCTTCAGATTCTCACAGTTGTCTTTGACCACTACTAGAAAGGAAGTCCAAAGTGATGGGCTGCTGGTAACTCAGGGGAGGAGATGAGATGAACTAACAGGATCTACCAGGTGGAGGGCAGATGAAAAAAGACTGGACATAGAGAAGGCTGAGAAGTGACCAGGTGCACAAGCAGTAAGGCCCATGGTGTCTTTCCTTTAGGACTACCTCCCTCCACTTCCTCTTGCTGATCCATAATTTCATCTTCTTTGCAAAAGCACTCCCTTCTTATCTGCTCTCCTTACGTATTACCAGAACTCTTAAACTAACTCTACTGTTCTATAGTTTTTGCTTAGAGTCTCTGAGTTATCAGCTAGCTTTCCAATAAATTCTTTATCTGCTTATTTTGGGAGTAGCCTAATTCACATTCATTTTGACCTTGTGAATAGCAGAGGATTATTATAAAGATTAAATGTGATAACATACACAAAACTTCTGGCATATAGTCAGCCCTCAATCAATTCACTTGGGATTAAAAACTACCCTTTAAGAGTTAAACTGAGCCATTTTGCTGATATGATTATATGATACAGTCTTTAGTATAATGTCAAATAAGGCTCTAGAGACTGACTAAAATGTATATTTTTCACACTTCTTATTTTTAGTAAAAAATATTTGAATTATATAATACTACACTCGAAAGAAATTATAAAAACTATTCATACTTGAGAGTACCTGAGCCTAAAGGTTCAACTTTGAGACCACTACATTTACTTTTTATAAAGAACTGCATAACTGCATCTGATGCTCAGCTCAGCACAAGAGAAGTGAACCACCAAAACTAAGGCCTTGTTGCTGTATGGCAACAACAAAAATAAACCAAGTGTTTTGGAAAATGGCTTTGCAAGTTTTCACAGTGAAAATTTACTTTTTGTCAAAATTTTCTATAAAAACTGTCATTTTGATGTATGCCATTTCATTTATTTTTTAAAAACATCAGAATCTGAGACCAATCATTGCATTCTGATAAAAAAACTTAAAGTGAAAGAAGCAATTATATTGAAAGAATATAGCTCAAAGAACCAAAGGAAGTAAAATAGATAAATAAGTTATTATTTCTTTAAAGTCACTCAAGTTTTAAACCTACAGAAGGACTTTTTTCATGTCACTTTGTTTTAAAACCAAGTTTTTCATTCTTGTTTCAGCTAATGCCCTACTTTTAATCCACTTCTGAGTTATTAATTCAAAATTGTTTCTTTCTAGCCACTAAAACTCTTAAATTTACATAAAACCAAAGCAATTTTTCCTTAGAACAATTTAGTTATGCTTATGAAGTTTTCATCACCAAGCAAATGACAAAGGTTAAATTTATCAAAGCCCTGAAACAAAATCAGATGTAGTCACTTAAAAAGTGAACAAAAAAGTTTCAGTGTAAAAAATATTACTTGCTAACAAAAGTCACAACAGTAATAAACCAATGTGAGAATCACTACCTCTTTTCATTGGGTCAATATATTTGTCCGTGTTTTTAATACTATTGTACCTTTAGTTGAGATCTTACCTTGTTCCAGGTAACTATGGGCTGTGGTTCTCCTTGAGCATGACATGAAATGTTTATATTCTTGCCAACCTCTACACTTGTATCCTGAGGTAGTTGAGTAAACACTGGGAGAGCTGTGGAAACAGATCAAAATGACATCATGTTGATACCATTTTTGTCAACATGCACCATCTAAGTCAAATGGTATAAATCTAGATATGATATTGGTTAGCCACACTAGTGCTTTAAAAAGCAATTACTTGGACATCAGAGAGAGTAATAAATATCAAAGCCAGGGTACTGATAATTAGGATAGAGATGAGAACGGAAAAAAAGGAAGAGAAATATACAAAGCCTTTAACCTTAAATATTTGTAATATTTATTTATTGAGCTGAGTAGTGGGTACAAGGATTTTTAGTACTCTTTTTCAATGTCTTTTCATAAGTCTAAAAAAAAGATATATGGTAACATCAAATGTTTATTGCTGGCTAAAATAAAGAGATTCAATCTTACTTTATTTCTTCAAAAAACAAACTATTATGACTTACCTAATATGAAATAGATCATTAGAATAACCCTATATAACTATTAAGGGAATTACATTAATACATTTTAAACCCCAAAACATAAATTTTTAGGAAAGAATTAAAATCTTTTCCTAGAGAATTTTATCCAACATACAATCTCTTCTAGAAACTAAGAGGAGGACATGTTTCCTGACTTTTTAGGAGGCTTATCTTAATATCAAAACCAGATAATGACAGTACCAAAATCAAAAAGAAAAAAAAAAACCTACAGACCAGTACCTCTCATTAATATAGACACAAAATCATCCATTCATAATATGTTCTTATAAATGTTTGTATTTCTTTGTTGCTCGTTATGATATCTCCTCTTTCATTCATGATTGCATTGATTTGGGTTCTTTCTCTTTTTCTTTTTGCTAAGTCTGGCCCAGGTTCTATCAATATTATTAATTCTTTCACAGAACCAGCTCCTGGTTTCATTGATCTGTTCTACTGTTCTTTGGTTTCTAGTTCATTGATTTCTGCTCTAATCTTTATAATTTCTCCTCTCCTCCTGGGTTTAGGTTTAAATACCTAATACACATACATGGGCTTAGTATAAGTGGCTCTGGATTGCTCTGTGTGGCTTTTGTTCTCTGAAGTCTTTCAGCACCATTTTGGGGGATTGAAATGAAAATGAAATCAGCAGTGCCCTGATCTCCATCCCCAGAGCTGAAAGTTCTGGGGAACATAGGCAAGGACCTCTTTGACCTTGGGTCCAGCAATATCTTGCTATACAGTTCCCCAAAGGCAAGGGAAACAAAAGCAAAAAATGAACTATTGGAATTTCATCAAGATAAATCTTTTGCACAGCACAGGAAAGAGTTGACAAAACCAAAAGACAACCTGTAGAATGGGAGAAGATATTTGCAAATGTCTATAAAGAACTTATGAAACTCAACAGAATCTATAAAGATATTTGCAAAATCTATTAAGAACTTATCAAACTCAACACCCAAAGAACAAATAATCCAATTAAGAAATGGGCAGAAGACATGAACAGACATTTCTTTAAAGAAGACTTACAAATGGCCAATAAATACATGAAAGAATGCTCCACATCACTCAGCATCAGGGAAATACAAATCAAAACGACAATGAAAGACCACCTCACACCAGTCAAAATGGCTAAAATTGACAAATCAGTAAACAACAAATGTTGGGGAGGATGAGGAGAAAGGGGAACCCTCTTACATTGCTGGTAGGAATGCATGCTTATACAGCCACTTTGAAAACAATATGGAGGTTCTTCAAAAAGTTGAAAGTAGAGCTACCATAAACCCAGCAATTGCACTACTGGGTATTTACTCCAAAGATACAAATGTACTGATTCAAAGGGACACGTGCACCCCCATGTTTATAGCAGCAATGTCCACAATAGCCAAACTATGGAAAAAGCCCAGATGTCCATCAATAGATGAATGGATAAAGAAGTGGTATATGTATACAATGGAATACTACTCAGCCATCAAAAAAATGAAATCTTGCCATTTGTAATGATGTGGATGGAACTAGAGGGTATTATACTAAGCTAAATAAGTCAAACAGAGAAAGACAATTTTCACATGATTTCACTCATATGTGGACTTTAAGGAACAAAACAGAAGATCACATGGGAAGGAAGGGAAAAATAAAACAAGATGAAGTCAGAGAGGGAGACAAAGCATAAGAGACTCTTAACTGTAGTAAACTGAGGGTTGCTGGAGGGGAGGGGGTGGAGAGATGGGGTAACTGGGTGATGGGCATTAAGGAGGGCATTTCATGTAATGAGCACTGGGTGTTATATACAACTGATGAATCCCTGAACTCTACTTCAGAAACTAATAATACACTATATGTTAATTAGACGAATTTAAACTAAATTTAAGAAAAAGAAAATGCACATATACAAAAACCTACGATAATCATTTACTTAATGGTGAAAGAGTAATTGTTTTCCCCCTGAGAAATGGAAAAAGGCCAGGATGTCTGCTCTCAGAACTCTGACTCAACATAGTGCTGGAAGTTCTAGCCAGTATAATATGGCAGGAGAAAGACATAGAAGACACACGGATCAGAAAAGAAGAAATAAAACTGTCTCCATTTGCAGATGACATTAGTGTCTTTACAGATTATTCTAGAAATCTATGAAATACTTCAAAGTGAGCTCAGCAAGATTGCAGGATACAAGATAAATGTAAAAAAAATCAGCTGGGTTATATATCCAAGCAATGACTATATGAACACAAAAATTTAAAAAATAATACCTTTTATAATTTTTCAAGAAAATTAAAATATTTATGTATAAATATAACAAAACGTGTGGTACTTGTATGCTGTAAGCTATAAAATGTTGATGTAAGAAATCAAATATGATATAAATAAATGAAGAGACACATTGTATCTGTGAATTGGAAGTCTCAAGATAGTAAAGATGTCATTTCTCCATGAATTGATAACAGGTTTAATGCAATTCTTATCAAAATCCCAGTTTTTTTGTAATATATATAGACAAAATCATTCTAAAATTTATATGGAAATGCAAAGGAACTGAAATAGCTACACAATTTTCACAAAGAAGAATAAAGTGAAAGGAATCAACCCACTAGATTTTAAGATTGATTATATAACTATAGTAATTAATACTGTATGATATTGACACAGAGAACTGCATCAACAGAACAAAGAACCCAATAATATAATTACACAAATGTGCCCAACTGATTTTGACAAAGGTGCAAAGCAATTCAATGGAGACTTTTCAACAAAAGGTGCTGGTCGATTGGGTACCCACAGGTAAAAAAAAAAAGAACAAAGTCTCACACTTCATACAAAAATTAAGTCAAAATGGACTACAAACTTAAGTATAAAATGTAAAACTATAAAACTTAAAAATAAAATAGGAGAAAATTCAGGGCCAGGCAAAAAGTTCTTAGATCTTGTATTGAAAGTATAATCCACCAAAGAAAAAAAATGATAAGCTGGATTCCATCATATTTAAAAACTTTTGTGTTGTGAAGACCATGTGGAGAGGATGCAAAGACAAGTTTCAGACTAAGAGAAGATATTTACAAGCCACATACACAACAGAGGATTAGTGTCTAGAATATACATAGAACCCTCAAAATTCAACAATAAAAGACCAAACAATTCAAATAGAAAACGGGCAAAAGACATGACATTGCACTGAGGAGAATATACAGATGACAAGTCTGTGAAAAGATGCTCAACATCACTAGTCTTGAGGGAAATGCAAATTAAAACCACTATAAGATATGACTACACACCTGTCAGAATGGCTAGAATAAAAAATAGTGACAACACAAATCACAAGGATGCAGAGAAACTGGATCACTCATACATCACTGGTAAGATATGTAAAATGGCAAAGCCATTCTGGAAAGAATTTAGAAATTTCCTTAACAATTTAAAAATGACACTACCATTTAATGCAACAATTGCACTCTTGGACATTTATCCCAGAGAAAACCCAAAACTTGCTCTCACACAAAAGCCTGTACATGAATGTTTATAGCAGCTTTACTAGTACTAATCAAAAATTAAAACCTAGATGTCCTTCAATGAGTGAATGATTAAACAAACTGTAGTTTAGGGGCACCTGGGTGGCTCAGTCGGTTAAGCGACTGCCTTCGGCTCAGATCATGATCCTGGAGTCCCGGGATCGAGTCCCACATCGGGCTCCCTGCTCAGCAGGAAGTCTGCTTCTCCCTCTGACCATCTTCCCTCTCCTGCTTTCTATCTCTCATTCTCTCTCTCTCTCTAATAAATAAATAAAATCTTTAAAAAAAAAACTGTAGTTTATTCAAAGGAACAATTGATAACCCACAAAATCTGGATGAACCTCCAAATAATTATGCTGAATGAAAAAAAAAGTCCCAAAAGTTTACATACTATATGATTCTATTTATATAACATTCTTGAGACAATGGAATTATAGAAATAGAGAACAGATTAGTAGTTGTCGGAGTTTTAGTAGGTGGAGTCTGCAGTTTCCTAATGAGTCTGGTTCTCTTTGTGTTATTGTTTACAACTAAATGTGAATCTACAATTATCTCAAAATAAAAACTTTAAAATAAATCAATTATGTGGACATGTAAGGGAATAATACACACCAAACCCAGGTTAGAGGCAAGTATGTTGGAGTTAAGAATAGATGGAAAGGAAGAAGAACAAACAATCTTTAAGTATATTTGTAATGTTTATTTCTTCATTTGAGTAGTGGGCATAAAGGCTTTTCATCATATCTTTCTTGATGGCTTTTTGTATGACTGAAATAAAAATATATGGTAACATCAAAAACTTATGAAGATAAAAAGGTTCTGTTCTTGAAGTGAGAACTGTATTTTGTTATATTCAAATCTTACATTGTATTTGAGTTTGCTAAAACTAAGGCTTATAGATTCCTGACAATGCATAGTGGACATCTCATGAGGACTAGTGACTCTATTAGGCAGTGACCTTCCTGATTCACCCAAAGGATCTCTAACTAACACTTCACATCATGGCCTCCATTATCAGATGTCCTGTATCTCTAACCATATTCACCTTCTGTCTTAATAGCTACTCA